CTAAAAAGTCCAATGGCATATCACAAGTGATCATTGTTGTTTCGAGCATGCTTGAATCCTGGATTTGCCTCCACTTTGCGTTTTTCAATCCTGAATTTGCCTCCCATTTAGCGTTTTCGCTGTAAATATTCACATATCAGCAAGTATTAGAGTAAAATATAGGCCGGGACTGTGTTTTAGACGACACCTCTCTAGTGGGTGCTCAATCAAAAACTTGCATGACTAAACATTAATTCACACAAGAATGACAAAAACAAGGAGAAACTCTTAAAACAGTTTAAATGTGCCGTAGTTAAGATTTGGTTTGATTCCTGATAGAATGGTGTTTCACTAACAGATAATAAAGAGAAAAAAAAAAATCATGTCAATTAAACAAACAGTTAACTGTTCCGAGATTACCGTGAAACAACGAGATTTCGAAGGCAGCTGTGTGAACATTAGTTTTTAATTGAAATGCACCACTAAGCACAAGATTTAAGGAACTGCAGCAGCTTATATACCTTGCGCTTCTTAAATTTTCTATCAGCATAGCTAGTAGCATTGCCAAAGCTGGTTGTAGGTTGCTCTTTCATGTCACCCTCCAGCGGTAAAGTCTTAATCTCGTCATAAAAACTTTCAGTCAAACCAAGCAACCTGGCACAACCAAAAAGAAAGCCACCGCTTGAATCAGTAAATAACAACAATAATTATAATAATAATTAATAAAGAAATCTTCCAACTTTGCCCATTCAGTAATATAGCCACCTACTGCTCCTCTTGGGACTTACCCATTTCTAGATTTCTTCAAATGTTTAATCTTCTTTTTCTCAACTTTAGTGAGTGGAGCACGGGTGAAAAGTTCCTCTTCTCGACGTGCACGATCCTCCATCTTTGCAATAGCATTCATAACTTCTCTACTGTCAGATCCTAGATTTTCTCTGACCTGCGATTTTTATAGCTCATCAATAGATCAACATATAATGATGGTACAGAAAAAAATAGAAAAACCCTATTAACTACAAAAACACCCTCAGGTAGAGCATATATGCAAAAAAGATGACCATTTTTTTTTTCCCATGGGTCAGGGCAGTTTTTTTTGTAGCTATCCCTAAAAATGTTTATCACCTCTTCAGGTTTTCCCTCAAGATCATCCATTAGCTCCCGAACATAAGAACTCTTCCTTGATTGTCGTATAATTTCTTCCTCTCTTCTCCGAGCATTTTTCTCCTGTCTCGACATCTTATCTTCATCCATAGAAGAGGGTGCGAATTTCGGGGGTTGATATACACTACCATCTTTCTGCAAAGCAATTACATGATAATTCTTGCACGTGAACAGAAATGAATGGTAGGTAGTATATTTATATATTAAACAATGTACAGTAACTGGTTCTTGCAGACCGTGATTACCTCTGTATTTGTTTTGCTAACAAGCAAGTCAGGATTCGGGCGAAGTCTTAACGTGTCCTCAGCATTCGGAGTTTCATCTGCTACCTTCTCATTCGAGCCTGGTTTCTCCACTGTAGTTGTGGATCTCGTCAGCTTTTGAATTTGATATTGGAGTTTTCGGTCGATAGGCCGAATCTGCATAAATTCCAATATGTTAAAAATGGAAAAATTATACAAAGCAGAAATTCAATTATGCTTCTTCAAAGTTGTATGTGTATACAAGGTTATCCATGTGAAAGAGGTGGATTCACACAGCATGCCAGGCTGCAATTAAATATGATTTTTTTTTTTTTTTAATTTTCATTCTATAAGAGAATTGTCATATTAACTTTGATCGCATACCAATAACTCCACAAAATAAACCATCCACCCATCTTTACTTTTTCCCGTCAATCCCATCGACAAATTCTTCCAAGAAATTACCGATAATTACTACTCAATTCCCTTCAAATTCAACATTTCCCAAGATTTATAACTTATAAGTGCCGTATTAGTATCTTATTATTTTTTAATCATATTTACTTTAATAATCACATTGTCATGTTATATCCATTCACATTTAAAATTCGTCATTTTATTATTCTCTAGAGGGAATGAGGACTAAATGAAAGAATGTCCAACCGCAATGTAATTGCTACATTACTTAGTTTTTCTTCTCCTCTATGTTTCACACAAAAATGACAAGGTAAATAATATAAGAATATACCTTCTCTAAGAATAATCTTGTCTCAACAAGACTCCTAACAACTGGATGCTGCTGAATTGATAATCCTTTTGCCTTGCGCAGCAGAAGATAGACAAGTGACTGGCAATAATTTAGAAGCAGCAAGTGTTTGGCTTCAAGATAGCTTATCCCATCTGATGTAGGGAAATTACCAGCTTTCACCTGTACAGAAAATTCACACAAAAACTTAAAAGGGCACAATCCATCACACCTTGGCACTCTATTTTTACAGTCCTACAACAAGAAAACGTGGTAATATGTACATTATTGGGTGATAATACCCAGTAAATTAATCTGCAACACGTTAAATTTAAGGATGGTAATAGCAAAAAACAGAAGAACCAAGAAATGAAAAGCCAATGACATGTTATATGTGTCATTCAATATTAAAGATGCAATTAAACAAGTTATAGCAATCAAATGTAGACATCAGATTAAAGGAACCAACAAGAATATAAAGAAGATACAAACAAAGCTGACGAGAATGAAGGGATAAAAAGCCAGCAGCTAAATCTGAGTGTTTCTCATCAATAGAAATATAATAGGATAATCCTTGTGACTATTTCATACCAAGTATCACAAATTGGATGTGTCCAAACTCCAAAGCATGACAGCTCACATGGTCTATTTCTAAAAGGAAAAGCTTTTCATAAACAAACTTCAATCTTCGCTATAAAGTAAAAAAAAAAAGTAAAAAGCAGAAACAAGAACATGTCAGGTTAGTACTTCTAACAATATATCAATATCATAGTGTTGTACTGTAGATTCAAACACCACTTCTTTAGTCTCTAATGCTACAGAGTTACAGGCAACCAAAACTCAGCAACTTCACACACCTTGAACTAGATACCGGATATTCACAAAACATTCGCTGGTTTCATGGTAAAAAATAACACAATTCATTTCGTGAATATCATAGCCATCTTTATCATTATTCCATTACAAGAATAATATTAACGGCCTACATCATGTTTTTTAGCAAAAAAATTATGAATAGAGAATGAGTAGAGCCAATAAGGGCACAAAAGTTGTTCCCTTAAAAATTATAAAGAAATTTTTCTCACAATATACTAAAAAACGATTCTATGGGTCCAAGTTTCAGGGACAGAACCATACTTTCTCAGTTAAAGCCTGGATTTTAATCCTAACAGTATCCAAACCGCCCTTCATTTCCTTCAACAGAGCAACCAGCTGTGGGGATTCTCTGTACCATGCCATTTATAAAGAAAGACAAATTCTATTT